TTCTGCTGTGCATGGGGTCGCTATGAGTCGGAAAGGACTCAACGGCACTTAACAACATAACAACAACAGGGGTTGGTGAGGACTTCATGTAAGGATATGTGGAAGCCAGGACAATGGGAGGTATGACCCAATCTTTTCTGTAGTTTCAATCAGTTTTTCAAAAACTATTTACAATTTAGTCTAATTCCTCTCTAATAATTGTTGCTGAGTTGATTCCAACTCTTGGCAACCTCAGTTTGTCCATAAACCCTGTATTCCATAAGGTTTTCAATGGCTTATTTTTTGGAAGTAAATTGCCAGGATTTTCTTCCAAGGTGCTTCTGGGTGAACTCAACTCTCCAACCTTTTGGTTCGCAGCTGAGCACATTAACCACCTGTACCACAAGGACTCTAACCCATTGCCATTTAGTTGATTCTGACTCAGCAACCCTGTAGGACAGAGTAGAATTGCTCCATAGGGTTTCCTAGGCTGTATTCTTTACAAAAGTGGACTGCCACATCTTTCTCCTACAGAGTGGCTGGCATGTTCAGACCACTGACCTTTTGATTAGCATCTGAGCACTTAACCACTGTGCCACCAAGGCTCCTCCCAAGGACTCTACTACACTGACATTCATCTCTTCTCATTCTGCCCTCTGTGAAGATGCATAAGAGCTGATAAGTCTTTTTCAGTTAATATTCATGAAGTGCTTACCCCTTTCCATTTCTGATAAGCTCCCAATCAATTTAATAGAGGAAATCCTGATTCCCAGTTCCAGCAGCTCTTTAAGACAGCAGGACTTTGGGGGCATGTATGTATGGGGTATAGGGTGATAAACAAGGCATTTTCTCCCAGTTAAGCAGTGACAATGAGGTAGACAATGCACAAATCTTGGCCTGTAACATATCCAGAATCCATGGAAGACTTCTATCTCAGTTTGTAGATTTGGCATTTGACTGCTAACCAGAAGGCTGAGAGTCAAACTTACCAGGTACTCCTTGGAAGGAAGGTTGGGCAATCTACTTCCATGGAGATACTGCCTTGGAAACCCAAGTTGGATCGGACTTGACAGCAGTGAATTATTTTTATTGTAGCCTCCAGATCCCCAAACTCTACCTAAAGATACCAATCAGTGGCTACATGAGGCACTCAGGAAGAATTCAGACACTCAAAATGATAGTTCTGGCCCTGCCAAGCATCCATAGCACATATTCCCAAGATAGACATCTCTTTACACTTGTACTTCATTTCTTTTTGCCACTGAAAGTTAATAATAAATATGGTTCTCAGAAAGTTATTATGCTCTTATCTATTGAAAAGAAGAATTTTTGAATAAGTTTCTTATTTCTGTCTTTTTTGTCCCCTCAACCTTGCCTTCCAGCCTTTTTCCTTAGAAGAAAAGCAGAAAGAAAACAAAGTATGGAGGATTCCAGAAAGTTTTCCACTCACTTTTGTGTGGCAGGATAAATTAAAAGTCTTCCAACATCTAAAATGTATGTTCTCTTTACCTTACACTTGAATCTTGATTAAAAGATTAATAAAATATGGTAATACCTATTCCTAGAAAAATGTCATGTTCACTTTCACTACTAAATTGTAACTACTTTCTAGCTCAAGGACTAATTCACTTTCACCATGATTCTTCTTTTTTAACATAAGAAAACTGAGACATGACAAAAATTGAGTAGTTTCCCCAAAACCTCAGTGCCTTGTCAGCAGTCAGACCAAAAGTCTTGCTAACATTGCTAAATGTCTTCCCAGGCGTGTGTTCTGTGATAGACAGATAGCGCACCACATGGACACACACGCACATGAAAACACACACACATAAGCACACACTCACACAGATACCTTTCCTACCTCATCAAATCCCATCTTGTCTGGATATTTAGGGACAACTGAGACAAACTGGGAGGGTTCCATTGGAGGACGGTCAACTGGAAGACACAAGAAACATGCAGAGTGATTTGTTAGTGAAAGAATCAGAAGAACAGAATTTCATCTGCACACTTGATCTCTATGGCAGAAACATGACTTGGGTGTCCAGGCCAGGGGTTAACTCCACAGACCTTATGAACCTTACTGCCCAGCAGCTCTCTAAGATGGAGCAGCCTAGGATGTATATTCTTGCTCCCTAAGAACTCTGATGGTCAGACATTGGTTTTCACTAGCACTGGTTTCTATGCACGTTGCAATATTTGCTCCATTTCCCTTAAGATTTATGTTAAGAGCTTTTGGAGGCAGTTTAGGGTAATGATTAAGAGGAGGAGGACTCTCAGTCTTGGCCTCTGAGGTCCTGGGAGAGTTAGTTGACCTCTCCATGCCTGTTTCATCATGTATAAAATGGGGAAAATAAAAGTACATCTGTTAGGGTGTTATAAACTTTAAATGAGGCACTATAGGCAAGACCTGGCAATCTATTTCCATAAAGATTTACCGCCTTGAAAACCCAATGGGGATCGCTATGAGTTGGAATCGACTCTATGGCACCGGGTTTGGTTTTTGGTTTATATGCAAAGCACTCATCATAGTAAATTAACACAGTAAATGGTTAATAACTCTTAGCTTTTATTTAACTGTGGTCCATGAGGAAAAAGCTCAAAAATAAGCTAGATTTTCTTTTTGAATAATGCTTTTTTTTCTATAAAGTTAAAATTGTCAAGGTCTGGGACTATTTTTATCTCTTTCAGGCAGGTTTAGTCACAGGTGTGCCGAAGGTCCTTTGTTTTAACATCTTTTCACCTCCGAAAGCCAGACCCAGAAATTGGTACAAGATTAAGGGGAAGTTTCCAGTTGGGAAGGATGTTGCAAATTGAATAAGAAAAGGTTTATTTATTTGCCACTCAATAAAAGCTCTGTTTACAAACTATGTATTTTATAGATTGGAAGCAAGTTCGGTTAAAGAATTCTAGAAAGTCTTGAAGATTTCTTTATATTATGGAAATTCAAAGCACTCAATTGGTTTTCCTTAAAGCAATAATACAAAGAATATTTAAAATGAGAGTTGGTAATTGGGTTGTTTATAGAACTCTCTGTGATTGCCTTTATCACTGACTATTCACCAATATCCATTCTCCTCTACTCTAGGCACAATAGAGAATTACCCTTCCTTGCCCTTGAAGGTCATGGCTATTTAACTTGCTGGGAAAGCATTTAATCGCTGCTGCTCAGCTCTCCAAACCCTTCTTCTCCCCTACATCTGCTTCACATGATGATCACAGTGGTATGTGCTGATACGGAGAAGCCACAAATTTGAAGCAGCCTGGCATGTAGCAAATCATATGGAGGACAGCTGCCCAGCAGAGATGCCAGGACTGCTGCAGATTTTGCATAGCAAGAGAAAAACCTTTGTTACATAAGTCAGCGTGAGAATCTGGCATTGTTTGATATCCCAGTATAACTTGGTCCATCCTGACTGAGATACTGTCCAAAGAGTATTATGGGAGATTTTAAAGGGAAACTATTTTATCCAGTTTATGATCAAATGATATAAAATTCTAGAATATAATGAGACAGGTTCCCTAAGCCAAGAGTGGGTTTCATTACTTCAAATATGACCCTTACAAGTCACAGCCACATAATGCATGTGGTTCTGTTTTCCAACAGAAGTCCAGAATATTTTGGTACTTTTTGCTCTGTTCTATTCCTTCATTTCTTTTAAAACAAATATTTATTGAAGATCTACCATGTACAGGATCAAGTTTTTAAGAGATGAAACTTACATACTAACTCCTTTGTGTTCAAATATAGTTTAAGAAGCAGTCTACTTCTTGCACTCTGGGCCTTAAACGTAAGAAGGGTTATATTCTGAGTTACCCTTTCCAGGCTTCTGGTCTCCATTTGGTACACAGATGGACTGCGTGGCTTTAACATTTTAGCCAAAGAGACTGCTTTTAGCCCCTCTAGCTCCTTCTAACATGGGCAGACATTGCACTCAAAGTACAAGTGTCCTGAAAAAGCCACAAGTAGCTGGCTGCAGAAAGCCACTGCTGAGCAAAAATATCAGACAAGTGTGCCTGGGTTTTACCACTGAAAGCAGAGGTAAGCCATAGAGGAACACAGGAAATGATATATTGAGTCTGCTCTAAGAGGCAGGTCTGATCTCCACCATGACAATCACACCACACTTTTTTTTTAATTGTAGTTTGGGTGAAAGTTTATAGAGCAAGTTAGGCTCCCATTCAACAATTTATATACATTTTGTTTTATGACATTGGTTGTAATCCCCTCAATGTATCAGCACTCTTCCCAACTTCCTTTCTGGGTTCCTTGTTTCCGTTGGTCCTTCTTTCCTGCCCCTTCCTGTCTTGTGAGCTTTGTCCTTGGGGAAATGCTGCCCTTTTGGTCTTGTATGGTTGATTGCACTCAGGAGTACATTCCTCCCTGGTGTTATTATTCACTTTATAGGGCTTTCTATTGTTTGGTTGAACATTGATCACCAGGAGGTGAGTCCAGTTCCATCCTTGAAGGGTGCTTGAGGGCCACAGTTTTGGAGGTTCCACTAGTCTCTATCAGACCAGTAAGTCTGGCCCTTTCTTTGATTTTTGAATTTTGTTCTACTTTTTCTTTCTCTCTCTGTCCTGGACTTTCTGTTGTGATCCTGGAGTCATACCAGACATTTAAGTGCTTTAAAATTTGTTTAGTCCTTTTATGTTCACCACACTTTATCTTCACTTAAAAAAAAAAAAAAAATAGATAAAGAAACTAAGACCAACCCAGATGTAGACTTACCCAAGGTCAAATAGTGAGTGAGTAGCAAAGCTGGAACTCAGTATCAGACCTTCAGACTTCAGATTCACTAATCTTAATAATTTTTACGTGAAGTTCTATTGCCTCCAAATGTCATTATTGAGAACAGCCACCTGGGATATCCCACTGTCTTATGCTCTGACTGGCAAGACCAATCTCCTTCTGCCGTACAATCCCTTTACATCTATCATCTTTACAAACACTAGCCTTGTGCCATTCTTGCCTCAATGGAAGAGCACCCTGAATTATCTGTATGCCTTCTAATGTACTGAATGAGGTAGCATTTTTACAGGGAAGGGCATAGTGCTTTCAGTGAGTGCTAGATATCATTATTGTTAATATCCTTATCCAGCTCCCATCCCAACCGAACTCTTCAACTCTACCTACAGAAACTGTGGTCTGTTGGTCACAAACTCCCCAATACCTTAAAGCTTATTTTCTGAATGTCTCTTCACCTATTTGTTTTAATGGGAACTTGGCTTTCCTTTAAGGACATAACCTCTCTTTCAGCTTTCAGAGCATACGCTGATTTTTCTCCAATACCCTAACTCACTCAAAACAGTGTTTCCTTATCCTTCAAAAACCCTATCTTCTTTGAAGCACCCTTCTATCTCCTCTTCAAACCCCTTCAGTCACAGATGACTCTAGGCCCAGAATCAAGTCTTATTGTCTGCCTTCATTAGCATGCCTAGTCATCATTGCCTAGTAGTGAACTTAGAACCGTCAACATCTACATTGGGCATCCATCCAATAATCTGGCTTGTTGACCTTAATGTTAGCAATCATTCTTTTACCTTCCCTTATTGACCCACCACCACATCCATATTTCACATCCTTCATTTTGTACTTTCATCTTTCCCTAGATTTCATGGTCTAGCACTTTAACACTTCCCTGGTTGTTGCTGTCTTTGTTAGGTGCCAGAGCCTGTTCTGACTCATAGTGACCCTGTGTACCACAGAACAACACACAGCCCAGTCCTGTACCATCCCCACAATCATTGCTATGTTTGACCCCATTGTTGCAGCAACTGTTAATCCATCTCATTTAGGGTCTTCCTCTTTTTGCTGACTCTCTGCTTTATTTCTGATGGTGTAATGGATAAAGCATTTGTCTGTGAACCAGAAGGTCAGTAGTTCAAACCCACCAGCTGCTCTGTGGAAAGAAGATGGGATGATTTACTTCTGTAAAGATTACAACCTCAGAAACCCGATGGGGGTTGCTCTGAGATGGATTCAACTCTATGGCAGTGAATTCTTTTTTTTTTTTTTTTGGTTTTCTACTTCATCTAACATGATGTTCTGATATCACGATCCCTCCTGCTAACCTGTCCAAAGTACAGGAGTAGAAGTCTCACCCTCCTTGCTTCTAAGGAGCATTCTGCTGTATTTCTTCCAAGACAGATTTGTTCATTCTACTGGCGGTCCACAGTATATTCAATATTCTTTACCAATACCATGATTCAAATGCATCAATTCTTCTTTGGTCTTCCTTATTCATTGTCCAGCTTTCACATGCATATGAGATGATAGAAAACACCATGGCTTAGGTCACACCTTAGTCCTCAAAGTGACATCTTTGTTCCTCAATACTTAAAAGAGGTCTTTTGCAGAAGATCTGCTCAGTGCAATATGATGTCTGATTTCTTAACTGCTGGTTCCATGGTGTCAATTGTGGATCTAAGTAAAATGAAATTTTTCACAACTTTAATCTTTTCTCCGTTTATCATTAGTTGTGATGATTTTTGTTTTCTTTGTGTTGAGGAGTAATCCATACTGAAGACTGCAGTCTTTGATCTTTGTTAACAGTGCTCCAAGTTCTCTTGAAACAGAAGTGCAAGTCCTCTGAAAACAAAAGTCTGTTTCCTCTATATCATAGATTGTTAATGAATCTTTCTCTAATCCTGATCCCTTCCTCCAATGCCTTGTAAAGACTCTTAATTCCCTTCAATTGGCCTTGCCTAAAAACTCCAGTTTTTGTTCAACTCAGTTTTCTACTTAGAAGAAGAAAAGCAGTATAGGATATATTCACACAATAGTTTTGATTGAGTCACTTCAAAATTATAACCACAATAGTCAAATTAGCATTCAAATCAAAACCACATCCATTGTCCTTGAGTGGATTCTGACTCATAGTGACCCCATGTGTTACAGAGTACAACTGACCTTCATAGGATTTTCTTTGCTGTAAATTTCCATGGCATGACTAAGTGGGTTTGAACTGCCAAGTTTTCAATTAGTAGTTGAGTGTAAACTGTTTTCACCATCCAGGGACTCAACACCACCAAATGATGCAACACCACTTCCTTAGTAAATTTACTTTACCAGAAAATTTTATGCCTTCTCCTCTCTCTTGAAATCTCCAATACCTCTCTCCAGCTGATGGCTGGGCTACCTGTTTCATAGAGAAAATATTTAAAATCAAATTGTTGCTAGGTGTTGAGAAGTTGGCTCTGACTCATGGCGACCCTATGTACAACAGAATGAAACATGTCCAATCCTGTGCCAGCCTCACAATCCTTGCTATACCTGAGCTCATCGTTGTAGCCACTGTGTCAATCCATCTCATTGAGGGCTTTCCCTTCTTTCATTGACCCTCCACTGTACCAAGCATGATATCCTTCTTCAGGGAATGGTCAGAAGGGACCAAAGTAGGTGAGACTAAGTCTGGCCATTTGGCTTCCAAGGAGCATTCTGGCTACACTTCTTCCAGGACAGATTTGTTAGTTCTTCTGGCAGTCCATGGTACTTTCAGTATTCTTTGCCAACACCACAACTCAAAAGCATCAACTCTTTTTCAGTCTTCCTTATTCATTGTCCAGCTTTCACATGTATGTGGGGCAATTGAAAATACCATGGCTTGGGTTAAACCAAAACGCAATGCCGTTGAGTTGGAGCTGACTCATAGCAACCCCTCCTTGGGTTTCTGAGGTGGTATCACTACAGAGGTAGATTGCCCAACCTTCCTTCCAAGGAGTGGCTGGTGAGTTTGAACCACCAGCCTTCTGGTTAGCAGTCAAGTGCCTTAGGCACTACACTACCAGAGCTCCTTAAATCAAATTAGACCTATCTTTTCCTTTTACCTCAGGCCTATAGACTCAGCTGCATCTATACCTATTACTCTGCCTTCCATCCACTTATTTTCTCCTTGAAAGGATGCATCCTTGTTTCTATCTGGAACAACCTCGCCAGTCCTGTCATGTATTTCAACCACTTATTTTCTCAAAATAATTCAGTCCTGAAATTATATTTTCTCCTATGTTACCAAGTTCTTCTTGTATACTGGAGTCTTTTCATTAACAACCTAACATGCTGTAATATTCCTATCCTAAAAATAAACAAAAAGATCTCTCCCTTGATTTCTCATCCTGTATTCAGCTACCACTCATTTCTCTGTTCCCTGTCACAAGACTCCACTTTCTCATCTCTCCATTCTCTCTTTGACGCACTCCAATAGATTTTTGTCTTGACTGTTGCACTAAAGTGACTTTTAACAAATCAGGTCATCACAGACCTTTATGTTGACAGAATCAATAATCAATTCTCTATCCTCAGTGTACTTGATTTTTCAGCATTATCTGGCTCCTTCTTGAAAATCACTACTTCAAATTTTTATGCCAATTCACTTGCCTGTTTTTCCCCCCAGCTTCTGGCTGTTTTTCTACCCCAGGGATCTGCCAGTCTCTCTCTCTTCTTCTCTTTCTGTGTTTTCTTACTACATGAATTTACCCTGTTTCATGCTTTAAATATCCTTCTATATGATGACTCTCAAATGCCTACCTATAGCGAGGGCCTCTCTCCAGATTAACATAGTCAACTATCTCCTGACCTCTCCACTTGACATGACCAAACTTCCCCAAATCTTCTCCTATGAAGTCTTTCCCATTTTAGTAAATGGTATACCAGACAGACTTCAAGCCAACATTCTGGATTCATTCCTGATCTCTCTATCCTTTTCATGAGCTGTATCCACATCTCTGTAATCTCGTTGGCTTCAACATCAAAAATATATCCTTAATCCATTGGCTTCTCACCACCTCCCTTGGATGCTACAGCATGCATTGAACCTACCCTCATTTATTACCAGGAGAGATGGCCCTACTCCACCTTTGTCCTTTACACTCTCATATCCACAGCCAATCTGAATGGTCTTTCTAAATGCATAAACTGCATCACACCAGTCTGCTATGGATTTTCATTATTCTTAGAATAAAATCCAAGTCTCTCACCTATAAGACTCTGCATGTCTGGAATTTTTCTCCATGACTTCATCTCCTTCCACTCAACTCGTCCTTTACACCCCAACTACACTGGCCTTTTGCCCCTCAAGCACCCTAATCTCTTTCTTGTCTTATGGTCTTTTCATATGCTATTCTTTCTGCTTGGAATAATCTTCCCCCAAATAATACATGTGGCTACTGCCTTGTTATATTGTCTGTCTCCTTCTGTTATAATATAAATTTCTTGATGATACTCTGTTTTGTTCACTGCCATATACCCATTATCTTGAACAATACATGGAACATAAAATGTGTTTAATAAATACTTTTTTATACATTAGAAGATCTTCTAATGGGCCACTGCCTGTTTTTCAGCTTCACTGCCCACTGTGCCTCCCCAGTCACCCCCACTGCCCACACACGCCCATCTTATGCTCTAGTGATGAACAATACAACTTCTCAAATGCTGTGTGAATATTTAGTATAAATAATTCCTCTTTTAGATGCTATTCCTGACTTCTTCCCCTGCACAGTGTTGATCAGTTACATTCTCCTTTAGCAATTATTATAAATTACACATAATAGTAAATGTTGTTGTTGTTATGTGCCGTTGATTCAGACCTGACTCAGAATGATCCCTTCTTGGGTTTCCAAGGTGGGATCACTATGGAAGTAGATTGCCAACCTTCCTTCTGAGGAGTGGCTGATTACTGAACACTTACCAATTCTGACATCATGCTAGGCCCAGAGTCAGTAACAATACAAGGTTCAAGGACATGAGCTTTGGACAAAGCAGGATTGGTTCAAATCCCAATCTCTCATTTGTTTATGTCATAATTCTGGGCAAGTTACTTAACCTCTCTATGCCTCAGTGTCTTCGTTTCTAATATAGGAATAATAAAGCTCCTTATTTAGTTATTATAACAATTAATGAAAAGATGTGCAAAAAAGTGCTTAGTGTGGTATCTATTAGATTGTAAGCTATTATAAAATTGAAGTCATTATTATTATTATTCTATTACACTTTTTGCACACAATGTGGGGAATTTGTACAAAATCTTTGTAAGGTAAACTTTACAACTGAGGGGATTAAATTACTTGCCCCAGGTCATATAATTAGAAGGCAGCAGAATCAGGGTTTAAATCTATACCACAAAACACTATTTTAGCACTTATCGCATTTGTGACAAGCATTTACTTGTGTACTCAGCTCTCCACCTGGACAGGAAGCTCTCTGAGGGCAAAGACCTTATCATGTTAATATTTCATGGGAGCTCTGATAGCATAGTGCCTAAGGCACTTGACTGCTAACCAGAAGGCTGGTGGTTCAAACTCACCAGCCACTCCTTGGAAGGAAGATGAGGCAATCTACTTCCATAGTGATACTGCCTCGAAAATCCAAGGAGGGGTCGCTATGAGTCGGGTCCGACTCGATAATACATAATAACAACAACAAATGGAAAATATTTAAGAATGAATTAACGAACAAACGAACAAATTTCTATGTTTCAGCCAAGGCAGACTGGTGGTTTGTGAGGTTCCAGCCTTGCAAGATGAGGAAATGGACTGATTGATGATCACTGTTGAAATCGAACACAAGCCATCACCCCTGCTCCTGTTCACTTACTCATTGCTTCTATCTGCACATGGATGAGGTTCTCGATGTCCTCCTGTAGGGTCTGATGGGGCTTCAGGGGGATGGGCACATAGCCATAGTGCTCTCTGTTGCAGAGGTACATCTGGATGCCTAAGGACCCAAGACAGGGACAAAGTAGACCAATCAAAAATCACAATTTTTTGTTCTCTAGTGACAGTTGAGGGTAAGGAGATTTGAATGTGACTGATGCTGCTTGACACTGAAATTGAACATGTAATTCTTCCAGGTACTCTCTGTAGATCTCAAAAATACTCCTTTATTAAGGAAGTAAAGTACAGCATTTTGGGGCTATTAAAACACTGGGCCATTCTTCAGCTCATAGGAAATTGATTTTTTCTCTCTGAAGAAAAAAACATGCTTCTGGCCTGAAATGAACATTAAAGGCATGAAAGGATCAAAAGAGAAGCAAGGAATTCTTGTTCCAGGGAGCAGAATGGAACACTGTAATCCACCTACAGGAAATAACGAGAAAATAAGGAATGGAATCCATATTTGATATGAAAGCAAACAGGAAAATCTTGACAGATTATTAAAGCTAAATCTAGGCATATATAGAACAAAAAATAAAAACAAAGGAAATTTAAAATTTCTATGATTCTCCTTTGTTTTATTTCTTTTCTTTAAAAGCCTGGCTTTGGAACCAACCATCGGATCTGAAACTTCTATAATACTTTCATAAATGAACAAAAGAAAGTCTGCATTTCATGAGCTGTTAAGAACTTGCAGTAAGAAAACACCAAAAATCTACCACAGCTCTCTAGTATTCAGCATTTGTTTTCATAGCTCCAGCTAGCTAATTTGGTCACAAAGCATCTTTCTGTAATCAGCCAGACAACTAGGGACATAGGAATAGAGATGCTCTCAGACAGATTCAGTAACTGACAGTCCTAACTAATGAAAAGATTGCTTAAGATGAGTCTGCCAAACCCTGATTTGCTAATTGGTATAATCATTAGTGCTTTTCAGGGAGAGAATTATTAACATAGTGACTTCTTTATTTTGTGCAATGAAATTTCCTCCAGTCAGCTGCATTACCTGCCAATTTAGGTGAAACTGTCTTACGGTATTAACAGAGAGAAAGAGAAAAGAAAAGAATCTGTATCCTTCTGTTTTACTGAATCTGGCTTGAATTGGGTCTGGTCCACCGAGCACTGTTACCTCCCTTGCCTTCAAGTTAACTTCCATCTCACTAGCTCTGGTATTACCCCACATGAATGCTTCTGGGGAACTTCAAACCCAAATGCATCCTCTTGCAAAATCATGATGAATTCAGAAAATGGAAGGAATAAGATGTAATATTTTAGTTGCCGTTCTATGCTAATTAGCAAAACCATTTCACCGTTTACCTTTCCAATGCTTCAGTAAAAACAGTTTATGATACCTAGCAAGCTACCCTTCAAGTGTGAGGATACAAAAAAGGTATTTTCTGACATGTAAGGCCCTCAAATATTTACTGCTTATTACCCTTTCTCAGAAAGTTACTGGAGCAGGAAGAAGAAGAATGTTACAAAGAGTGAGAAAGACTTGGGACACAGAAAATGGAATGGTCAATGCAAAAGGGAAGAGAACGGAGTACCAGGTTGACAGCTGTGGCACGAGTCAGATTAGAATATCTCAGAAGGCTCTAGGAAAGACATCTTCACAAATATGAACTAGGAACAACTGATGAATCTAAACATTCTGAGAAGAATTTTAGACAATTAGTTATTAGTTTTTTTTATTGCATTTATTGTTAGGTTCCATTGAGTCAGTTCTGACTCATAGTGACCCTTTTTACAACAGAATGAAACACTGCCCAGACCTGCACCATCCTTACAACTTTTTTTTTTTTTTTCACAATAGGTGCTGTGCATGAGCCCATCATTGCAGTCCATCTAGTTAAGGGTCTTCCCTTTTTTGCTGACTGTCTACTTTACCAAACATGATACCCTTCTCCAGGGATTTGTTCCTTCTGATAACACAACCAAAGTACAAGAGGTGAAGTCTGGCCATTCTAGCTTCTAAGCATTCCAGCTGTACTTCTTCCAAGACATATTTGCTTGTCCTTCTAGCAGTCAATGGTGCATTCAATATTCTTCACCAATACCAGAATTCAAATGCATCAATTCTTCTGCCATCTTCCTTAGTCATTGTCTAACTTTCACATGCATAAGACGCTATAGGAAATATCATGGTTTGGGTCAGGGACACCTTGGTCTTTAAAGTGACATCTTTGCTCTTTAACACTTTAAAGAGGTATTTTGCAGCAGATTTGCCCAATGCAATTTATCCTTTGATATCTTGACTGCTACTTCCATGTGCAATGATTGTGAATCCAAGTAATATGAAATCCTTAACAACTTCAATTTTTTTCTCCATTTATCATGATATTGCTTATTGGTCTAGTTGTGAGAATGTTGAGGTGCAATCCATACTGAAGACTAATCTTTGATCTTCATCAGTAAGTGCTTCAAGTCCTCTTCACTTTCAGCAAGCAAGGTTGTGTCATTTGCATACTGCAAGTTGTGGATGAGTCTTCCTTCAATCCTGATATTGTGCTTGTCTTCATATAGTCCACCTTCTCAGATTATTTGCTCAGCACACAGATTGAATAAGCATGGTGAAAGGAACCCTGCAGCACACATTTGCTGATTTTAAACCATACAGTATCCCCTTGTTCTGTTCAAATGACTGCCTCTTGGTCTATATACAGGTTCTTCATGAGCACAATTAAGTGCTCTGGAATTCCCATTCTTTGCAATGTTATCCATAACTTGTTATGATCCACACAGTAGAATGCGTTTGCATAGTCAATAAAACATTGGTAAACATCTTTCATCATCTTTCTAGTATCCTTTGCTTTCAGCCAAAATCTGTCTGACACCAGCAATGATGTCCCTTGTTACACATCCTCTTTTGAATCTGACTTGAATTTCTGGCAGTTTTCTGTCAATCTACTGTTACAATAGTTTTTTTAAATTATTTTCAGTAAAATTGTATTTGTGTGTGATAATAATGATATTGTTTGATAATTACTGCACTCCATTAGATTACCTTTCTTTGGAATGGGTACAAATATATATATCTTCCAGTCAGTTGGTCAACTAGCCATCTTCCAAATTTCTTGGCATAAATGAGTGAGCTCCTCCAGTTCTGCATCCAGTTGCTGAAACATCTCAATGAGTATTCCATCAACTCCTGGACCTTGTTTTTTGCCCTTTCCTTTGGTGCAGCTTGGACTTCTTCCTTCAGTATCATTGGTTTTTGATCATATGCTAACTTCTGAAATGGTTGAACATTGACCTGTTCTTTTTGGTACAGTGAGTGACTCTATATACTCCTTTCATCTTCTTTTGATGCTTCCTGCATCATTCACTATTTTGCCCATAGAATCCTTTGATATTGCAACTTGAAGCTTGAAGTTTTTTCTTCAGCTTGAGAAATGGTGAGCATGTTCTTCCCTTTTGATTTTCTAACTCTAGGCCTTTGCACATTTCATTATAATTCTTTACTCTGTCTTCTCGAGCTTCCTTTTGAAATATTCTGTTCAGCTCTTTTATTTCATCATTTCTTCCATTGATATTAGCTACTCTCCATTAAAAAGCAAGTTTCAGAGTCTCTTCTGACATCCATTTTGGTCTTCTCTTCCTTTCCTGTCTATTTAATGATTTTTTGTTTTCTTCATGTGTGATATCCTTGATGTTATCCCACAACTAGTCTGGTCTTTGGTCACTGGTGTTTGATGCATCAAATCTTTTCTTCAGATGGTCTCTAAATTCAGGTGGGATATACTCAAAGTCATAGTTTGGCTCTTGTGGACTTGTTTTAATTTTCTTCAGCTTCAACTTAAACTTGTATATGAGCAATTAGGGTCTGTTCCACAGTCTGCCCCTGCCCTTGTTCTGACTGATGATAATTGAGTTTCTCCAAAGTTTTTTCCACAGATATAGTTGATTTGATTGCTGTGTATTCCATTGGATGAGGTCTATGTGTATAGTTGCTGTTATGTGGTTGTAAAAGGTATTTGCAACGAATAAGTGGTTGGTCATGCAAAATTCTATCATGTGATCTCTGGTGTCATTTCTGTCACTAAGGCCATATTTTCCAACTACTGATGCTTCTTTTTTTCCCCAACTTTTGCATTCCAATCACCAGTAATTATCAATACATCTTGATTACATGTTGGTCAATTTCATACTGCAGATATTGGTAAAAATTTCAATTTCTTCATCTTAGGCTCTGGTGGTTGGTGCATAAATTTGAATCTAGTATTAACTGATCTTCCTTGTAGGCATATGGATACTATCTTATCACTGCCAATGTTGCAGTTCAGAATAAATCTTGAAATGTTCTTTTTGGCACCACTCTTCTTTAATTTGTCATTCCTGGAATAGTAGACTATATGACTTTCTGATTCAAAATGACCAATTCCAGCCCATTTCATCTCACAGTGCTTAGGATTGCATTAGTAATAATAAAACTAAGCCCACCAAAATTTACTTGTTAAGTTAGACATGACAGGAAAACTAACCATAGAATGCTAAATGGCTTGGCTTAGAATTGGGTTTACATGATTATAACAACATAAACACCAAAAATTGCTCTTAAATTATCTTAAATTACATATAACTATATTGAGAGGATAGGGTGATGGGATGAATGTGTTTACATGCAAGGGATGAAAGGAGAGAGAGCTAATTCCTCATCTTTTGTAATTTAGAATCAATAGATAATGCCTAAAATAAAACCAAAAAATCAAGAAGTAGCAATGCAACCATGTTAAATACTCTATTAATCAGTCATCTAAAAGAGAGAAAAGTGGTTGCCTTCTATAAAAGGGAAATGGTGCAGGGGTAGTATACAGGGGACTTCTAAATTTTTAATAAATTTTGGGGAATTATTTGAACTCTAAAAACTGTGAATGGGTAATTTGATTAAAAATATATATAAAGAGGATATGTGGTGATAATTAGATAAATTCTCCAAAGGAATCAGGTACTCAAAGTGAAATCTGCCTCTGGAGAAAACTATTTTTCATTTCAAGAACTTTGCTTCTCTTATGAAGCTACAAACATTTTCTTGAGCTCGTTAGTACCCTACATTGCAGATTGATATAGTTATCTCTCTTCTGGGTTATGAAAAACTAAGCTCAGAGAAGCTGTGATGTGTCCAATCATGCCCTCATCTCTTGCCTATTCTGACCCCCAGCAGTCATTTGGAAGATGGCTGGCTGGTACTGGGGATTATTTCTAGTGGACATGATAAAAATCCTAGACCACTGGCTGCAATGGGATGTGAACTTTTGACCCTAGATTCATATAGCCACAAACACTGTCTATGACTGATTGTGCTCTCCTCTTGGGCTAGCCGGGCAGCGAACCCCCAGCACATCAGCACACTGTGATTGCTCCCTCAGTTACCACCCACATGTGATAATGGTCACAGTCTGAGGTGAAAGATTGAGGATCTTTTTAACTTTGTTGTTAGATGGCCCTGTTGGAGACATGTAGGATGTTATTTCTTTTGGAGCACTTTAAAAATTATGTTCAGTAGATGATACACACAGCTGGGGAGCTTTACAAGAGTAAGAACAAAAGAACTCAAATCATCTTTAATCAAGACTCTCTCAAGGCAAAGGAGAAGTGCTTTTTCTTTTTTGGACTCAAAAAGGGAAGAGCTGAGAGACACTCAGTGGTCTGCACATGACTTCCAGCCTTATTCATGTCTCTCCTTAAAATGTTGTTATGTGCCTTCAAGTCGGCCTGACTCATAGAGACCCCTCCTTGGGTTTCCAAGGCAGTATCACTACGGAAGTAGATTGCCCAACCTTCCTTTCGAGGAGTGGCTGGTGGATTTGAACTGCCAGCCTTCTGGTTAGCAATCAAGTGCTTTAGACACTACACTACCAGAGCTCCTCTCCTTGAAATACTATTCATGAAATTACTACCTTAGAACCAAACAACTGTCAGGAAGGCTCATTAATTCCTTCGAATGACAGTGATTGCTTCCTGCCTTGACTCCTGTGTCCTGCTCACAGTCTGCACCTCTGATCTGGCCCTTGGCTTTTACTACTACATCCTACTTAGTTGTTTTCACGCATAAAGATCTTATCTTTTCAACTAACAAAAAGTCTAACACAATGCTATGCACAAAAGTAAAGATTTTTGAATTGATCCTGTCCTTCATTTTCAACTTCTCCTCTCCCAACTGAATCACCAATCAAGAATGCACCTGTCTTCAATGTTCTAGAACGGCCTGTGGGAAGTCTGACCAATAAAGCACAAAGTCCTGGTAAATAGGCCAAGGGCAGAGCTGAAAAATACCCTCTTCTAACCCAAATATCCAGTTTTTGGTTTTTAAAAAAATACATCATAATAATTTAGTGTGTGGGGTCACAGTAATTCTTTGTGCAACAACTTATAAAGAAAGACTCTGTTAGGCAATGATCATTACTGTAATTGTTAATAGCTCACTTTTCTGGAACATCCTCACTTCAAGCACTGAAGCAAAGGGACTGGCACAACTTAAAGGAATGAGAAGGCCCTGACTCTGCTTCTTGTCCCAGAGAAGTCAGGGCAAATCACTGACCAATCTGAAAGAAGCAGTTTCCATTAACACTGATGCAAGAACCTTCATGAAAACTTCCAATCCACTTGAGGATAAGAACATTGTTTTTGCCCTGGCACAAGGCCTAAAAAGTGTCTACACCTGGCATCTAGATTGGGTCTAAATTGCTCTAGCAGCCAGGGGTGGAAAGTCAGCCTTCCATATTTCCACCACTATGCTCATTGTAGCATAGTGGCTAAGACACTTGCCTGCTAACCAGACGGCTGGCGGTTCAAACCCACCAGCCACTCCTCGGAAGGAAGGTTGGGCAATCCTACTTCCGTAGTGATAACTGCCTCGGAAACCCAAGGAGGGGTCGCTATGAGTCGGGGCCGACTCGACGGCACATAACAACAACAACAACAACATGCTCATTGTAACAATTCTAACACTGAGGAGTGAGGACAACTATGGCTTTAAGGGCAGCCTCAGCTGTGTGAGCTGTAGTTGAATTTCAATTAATATAGTCCCAGCGGCCAGCAACCTGCCTCAACTGCCTGGGGTCTCTGTGTGATTTCTTTCACCCTAACTTATGTGGTGACAGTGAGTTTATTCACCATCTTCTTGGTTTGTAAACTCATTTCTGGTATTGGCTAAGCGGCACATTTCTGGCACATTGTAAATGAGACTTAACTTCTATCAGGAAGGTCTGAATTATACTGAGTACAGTTTTCTTTTAAGGTTGTAGTATGTTTCTGTTGAACTGCTTTAGTGAATTATGTTCTCCCTGACTTCATGTGTAGGGTGAAACAAGAGAAATATTCCTGCCTACTTACTTATCTTTCCCTGAAAGTCTACAACCCACTGGAAATGCATTCCCACCAGTTCAGACTCAAGTCTGGCCTTAGGGACTATGGGACAGCTATTGGTTGTGTTCCAATATCTCTTCTTGGCTTCTTCTTTAGTGAAAGAATTGGGGTCCACAACTATATCAGATAAAGAGTGCATGTTGAGCCTCTCTTAGAGCTAGATGTTGTCCTGTCAATGGGATGTGCATGAAATTGATGTGTTGGTTCCTGTGACGGTTAATGTTATGTGTCAACTTAGCTATGCTATGTGCCTAGTTGTTTGGTTAAACACTAGTCTAGTTACTGTTATGAAATAGTTATATATGATGAAATCAATTGGCTTTAGTAAACCCGATTACTTTCCAGAATGCGCATGAGCTTCAATCAATCCGTCAAAGGCTTAAAGCAAAAAGGATGAGCTCTGTCTCCAGACTACAAATAAATACTTTTAATGGCCAGCACATCATCTGACCTACAGATTTGGACTTGCCAGTCCCCCATAATTGCATGAACCAGTTCCTTAAAAAAAAAAAAAAAAAAACACTCTCTCTTTATACACACACACACACACACACATACACACATACACACACACACATATATAGCCTATATAATATATATTACTATATAAACAATAGTATATGTATAGTATGTGCACATATGTATTCTTGGTCATTGGTACTCACAGTTGGAGCACCACAGAGGGTGTGAGTATGGTTATTGCAGACAATTAAGTCACTCTAACACTACTTGAAAAGAGAATTTTCTAATAAGATGCACAAGACAAATGAACTGGTCATTCGCAGTGTTTTCATGGAGGTAGTGAACCCAAACACAAATAGTACCTGCTTGCCTGCTGGAGAAGGCAAAGACAATGATGTCATCAAAGGTCCAAGTGTAGTCCTGATGTGGAGGGTAGAACATCAGCTTGTCTGAGGCCTCCTTCCTGAGGTCAATGAGGAATGTGGAGTGGACCATGGGGACGGGAAAGCAGCCCAACCTCTTCCACTCTCTAATCTGAAGGTAGTCTGGGGTCCGTTTATAGAAGCCCTGTAAAAGAACAGGTAGGTGGGTTGTGTTCTCCGACCTGAGGGCTGCATCTTTCCCAGTCATCACCTAGGTTGATTCCTTCTAAGCCATCACTCAGTAATGGAAGCTCCAAACAAAGCCACAAAGCCACAAAACCAAGTCTTTTCTTTTGGCCTAATAATTTTTAATTGAGCTCAAGAAATGTTCTCTGCATATAAAACAACCCACAAAGGGTCTTGATTTCAGAAATTATTTTGGTTTCAGCATAAGTGATTTAATAATTATATAAAAGTATATTTTATGTTAAGATGGAGATGAAATATGACTACATGGTTGCTGTTGTTAGTTGTAGTCTGGTACATTTTGACTCACAGTGACCCCATGTGTGCAGAGTAGAACTGCTCCATAGGATTCTCAAGAAGTAGATTGCCAGGCCTATCTTCTGAGGCTCCTTGGAGGGGGTTCAAACAGTCAACCACCAGCCAGTAGTCAATAACTTAGCTGTTGGTGGCACCCAGGGACTCCAATGACTACATTTAGAGGTGGAATAGCACAGTAGTGAAAAGCACAGCTTTTTACACCAGACTGCCTGAGTTCTAATACCATCTCAGCCACTAACTGATTGCAGATATTAGTCAAGTTATTCAACCTTGCTGTCTCTATTCCTCATCTGTAAATCTAGGATGATGACACTATCTACTTCATGGGACTGTGTCTGAAATGACAAAGTAAGGATGTTGTTAGGAGCTGTTGAGTCAGTTCTAACTCATAGTGACACTGTGTGCAACAGAATGAAACACTGCCTAGTCTTGCTCTGTCCTCACAATTGTTGCTATATGTGAGCCCATTGTTCCAGCCACTGTGTCAATCTAGCACATTGAGGATCTTTTTTTTTTTTGTTGCTCCTCTACTTTACCAAGCATGATGTCCTTCTCCAGGGTCTGGTCCCTCCTGATAACATGTCTAAAATATGTGGGATGATGTCTCATCATTCTTGCTTCTAAGGAGCATTCTTGCTGCACTTCCAAGACGGATTTGTTCATTCTTTTGGCAGTCCATGGTATATTAAACATTCTTCACCAACAACATAATTCAAAGGCATCAATTCTTCCTTGGTCTTCCATATTCATTGTCCAGCTTCCACAGACATATGAGGCAATTGAAAATACCATGGCTTTGGTCAGGTCCTCAAAGTAACACCTTTGCTTTTTAACACTTTAGAGAGGTCTTCTGCTGCAGATTTGTCCAATGCAGTACATTGTTTCATTTCTTGACTAGTGTTTCTGAGTGTTAATGGTGAATTCAAGCAAAATGAAATAGTTAACAACTTAAATATTGTCACTGTTAATCAGAATGTTGCTTATTGGTCCAGTTGTGAGGATTTTTGTTTTCTTTATGTTGAGGTGTAATCCATACTGAAGGCTATATATAGTCTTTGATCTTCATCACTAAGTGTTTCATGTCCTCTTCTCTTACAGCAAGCAAGATTGTGTCATCTGCTTATCACAGGTTGTTAATGAGTCTTCCTCCAATCCTGAGGCTGTGTTCTTCTTCATAGCATTCTGAAATTCCCATTCTTCACAATATTATCACAATTTATTATGATCCACACAGTCAAATGCTTTTGCACAGTTTATAACACATTGGTAAACATCTTTCTGGTATTCTCTGATTTCAGCCAAGATCCATCTGACATGAGCAATGATATTCCTTGTTACATGTCCTCTTCTGAATCCAGCTTGAATATCTGGCAATTCACTATCGATGTACCACTGCAACTATTTTTGAGTTGTCTTCAATTTTACTTGAGTGTGTTGTTAATGATATTGTTCAATAATTTTCACAATCTGTTGCATAATCTTTCTTTGGAATGGGCACAAATATGGATCTCATCCAGTCAGTTGGCCAGGTAGTTGTCTTCCAAACTTCTTGGTTTAAACAAGTGAGCACTTCCAGCATTGCATCCACTTGCTGAAAACATCTCACTTGGTATTCTGTCAATTCATGAAGACTTGTTTATTGCCAATGCTTTCAGTGAAGCTTGGACTTCTTCTTTCAGAATCATTGGTTTTTGATCATATGCTACCTCCTCAAATGGTTAAACATCAGCAAATTCTTTTCATGCTTTTGTGTTGTTCAATTTGTTGCATAGAATCCTTCAATAGTGCAACTTGAGGCGTGGATTTTTCCTTCAGTTCTTTGAGCTTGAGAAATGTTGAGTGTATTCTTCCTTTGGGTTTTCTAACTCCAGGTCTTGCACATTTCATTATAACACTTTGTCCTCTCGAGCTGCCCTTCAAAATCTTCTGTTCAGCTCTTTCACTTCATCATTTGCCCCATTCACTTTAGCAACTCCATGTTCAAGAACAAGTTTTAGACTCTTCTGACATCCATTTTGGTCTTTTTTCCCTTCCCTGTTGCACGTGTATGTTTGTGTGTGTGTGTGTGTGATTTGGGTGAAAGTTTATAGAGGCAATTCATTTTCCATACAACAGTGCATACACATTTTGTTTCATGACATTCATTGCAATCCTATAATGTAACAACTCTCTTCCCACTTCCTCCCTGTGCCCTTTTTTTCCTATGCATTCCTGCCCTGAGCTATCTCCCTGTGCAAGTATTTCCCTTCTGATCTCCCATGGTTGATTGTTCTAAGTAGTGTACCTACCTGGTGTAAATGTTCATCTTATATGCCTGTCTATTTGTGTGGAAGCCATGGGAGTGAGTTCAATTCCAGGCCTGAAGGGGGACTAGGGGCCATAGTCTCAGGGGTTATACCAATCTCTATCAGACCAGCAAATCCGTTTTTTTTTTTTTTTCAAAAAATGATTTTGAGTTTTGTTCTCCATTTTTCTCCCACTCTATCCAAGATCTCCTATTTGAACCTTTTCTGAGTGACTGACAGTGGTAGCTGGGCACCATTTAGTTCTTGTCTCAGGGTCATGTAGGCTGAAGTTTGCATGGTCCACTAATCCCTTGGAATAATTGTTTCCATGCATCTCTGGTTTTATTCATTCTTCTTTGCTGTGGATGAGGGGAGACAAATTGTTGCATCTTAGATAACTGCTTGCAAGCTTTTAAGACCCCAGTTGCTACTTACCAAAGTAGGATGTAGAACAATGTTTTGTGCAGTATGTATGACAATAGAGCTTGATGTCCCCCTGTTTTTGTTACTTAGTGCCGCTCTGACAGAAATATACCACAAATGGGATGGCTTGTACAAACTGGAGTTCATTCTTACAATTTTTGGAGGCTAGAAGTCCAAGTTCCAAGTGCCAGGCTGTAGGGGCTGTGTGAAAGCCCCTCGATGTTGGGCTTCAGCTCTGCCTCTTGTTCCTGGCTCACTGAAGCTGGAGGTATCTCTTCACTCAGGCAGCTACTGGCTGCTGAGCCTAACAAGCCCAAGGTCGACAAATAAAATGGCACAGTCCTGATGTTAACAATGAACACGGCAGGCCATTGATTCAAGTCCATTGGAAGTCTCAAGATCAGCAGAGCATGGCAGGCTGCTAAACAATGACTTGGCTAGATGCAGGGTTCAAGAGTGGCATAAGCTAGAGACCGTTCCCAAGGCTTCTCCTAATATAAAAGAAGCAGATCACGTACTTAAAGCAGCTACTCAGTGGCTCACAGAAGATTCCACCATGGGGTTAATGACCAGTCTCATCATGGGGAATACTACATCCAGCTGCTCAGCCACTCAACCAGGCCCAGCCAAGTTCACACACCATCTTAACTACCACGTCCCCCATGACCATGGTCCTGAGCCTGTGGGACCAGTGACTCACTCCCTCAGGGTGTTTGGCTGTGGCTAAGCAGTTATCATAGCTTTGCCCATTAGCTCTATTATATATATTGACATTTTTATCACTGACTGTCATCGAGTTGATTCCGACTCATAGTGACCACCACTGGGTCTCCAAGGCTGTAAATCTTTACAGAAGCAGACTGCCTCTGTTTCTTCCATGGAGAGGCTGATGAGTTCGAACCACCAACCCTTTGGTTAGTAGTCAAATGCTTTAATCAGTACACCACCAGAAAAACAAAACCAAACTCACTGCTATCAAGTTGTTTCTGACCCATAGCAACTCCCATTGGATTTCTAAGGGTGCAAATCTTTATGGAAGCAACTCATCTTTCTTCCACAGAGCAGCTGGTGGTTCGAACAGCTTATCTCTTGGTTAACAGCCAAATGTTTTAACCACTATGCCACCAGAGCACCTGGACATTCTTATGTTGTTGTTGTTATGTGCTGTTGAGTTGGACCCGACTCATAGCGGCCGTCCTTGGGTTTCCAAGGCAGTATCACTATGAAAGTAGATTACCCAACCTTCCTTTTGAGGAGTGGCTTGTGGGTTTGAACCACCAGCCTTCTGGTTAGCAGTTAAGTGTCTTAGGCACTATGCTTCCAGAGCTCCCGGACATTCTTATAGCACATATAAAAGTGTATGTAGAAAATATCATCTGCCAAACTTACATATATGATCATGAGTATACACCCTTTTGCCTAGACATACTTGATCATTTAGCCTGTTTACCTATGTATCCACCTGTAGATTAATGTTTACTGATAATGCAGTATTGTGTATGTAAATGTGTTTATCTTTTTGTCTGTACCTCTTGTGCACCTGTCTGTGTCTTCCTTTTCCTTAATGTTATTGTGCTGGTCACTTGCTTTGGATATGTTGCCTTTCCCTTCACACGAATTGATATTTGTCTCTTACCTATCTAGCAATTTTCCCTCCCCTTTCCTCTCATCCCTGGTAACTAACAAAGAACGTTTCCTTCCATATGTAAAGCTTTCATTGTTTACAATAGTGGGTTAACACAATATTTGTCCTTCTGTGATTGACTTAGTACACTCAGTATAATGTCTTGGTGGTAGTTATGATTGTGTGTCAACTTGGCTGAGCAGTGGTTTTAAGTGGCTGGGCAGTTGGATGTAGTTATTCCACAGGATGAAATTGTAATCACCTCCATGGTGGAATCTGCTGTGAGCAGCTGAGTAATTGCCTTGGGGT